GCGGTGGGACACGACGGAGTGGAGGGATGCGGCGGCACGCAGTCGTAGTCGCCGTTGCTGAATGAAACCTGGAGCGTCCACCCAGTGCTGCTTCCTCAGATCTCCGCTGACGCGTCCTCTCCGCGTCGCGCGCCCACGCAGGAGCCGCTCCTTGCCGCGCTGCAGTCCTTGTCGCTCGTCCACCCCACCCTGGACTTCTTGCCCGCGTTCCCAGGTCCACAGCAGCGAGCATGGCCGGAGTCGACGTCCTGCGCGAGGCCGAGGTCTGCCGCGTCGACGCGCTGCTCGCGCTCCCCACAGCGCGATCGCACGCGCGGTCCCGTCGCTCCACCTCCTCGCGCTCCGCTCCTGCCGCCCGGGGACGACCGGGTTCGATAACGCGCGCGAATGTGGGGAGAGGCTGACCATGCCAACCTTGCCCCCAGAGCTCACGGCGGAGCTCGCATGGGAGGACGACATCGAGCGGCTGTGGGGGCTGACGAGCGTGTGCGTCCAGCCCGGCGCTGCGGCGGCTCAACGAGCTCCGGAAGGAGATCCTGTGCGACAAGCGGTGGTGGCAGGTGGAGGGCGACGGCGCGGCGCGGACGCCGGTGGAGATCTGGCGGGAGGACGGCGAGCGGGCGCGAGATCGTCCAACGAGCGGATTTTACAAGAAGAGCATCGACGGTGAGTGTTCCTCGCGCGGGAGCTGTTCACGCGGATGCTGTTGCGTGTCTTCGCCCTCGAGGCCATCAAGCACAGAGGCCTGGCGCGAGGAGGGCTCGTAGTTTCGTCCGGGGCGGCTCGAGCGAGTCGCGCGCGGACGACGAGGACAGGCGCGAGCGGCGGCAGCGGCAGCGGCAGATGTAACATCGGTGGAGCGAGGACGGGTCGGGGGCGGACCGGGAAGCGGTGGTCGACATGGAGGTGGGCGTAGAGGCGGACTCGGTGGCGGGTGCCAGCTCCGCATTCTCGTGCGTCATCTCCACCGTCTGGTCCACAGGCCAGATATATCCGCCCCGCGGCCGCCCGCGGTCCAGCGCAGCTCCGGCATGAGCTTGCAAATCTTCAGAGCTGGTAACAGTATCGAGTCGCCGCCCTTGAGCTACACGTTTTCTGTCAGTACCTGTTGCTTCTTCTCGGCACGCTCAGGCTAGACAGTACTCACGCTGGGCACCAACGACTCCGCGACTTGTCCGCGACGACCTCTCCCGGGTTAATGCAATAGTCGGCAGTGTCGTAAAATGCGATCTTGCGTCTGCGCTACGTGTTGAGCACCAGGGAGAGCATATCCAAGACCTGGTCGCTCGGCGTGATGAGCAGGTCGGGCTGTAACCCCGCGGTGCTGATGCTCTTAGGTGGACGACGTAGGCGAGCGTAATGCGCGCGACCGTACGAACTGGCTGCACCTCGTACTCACAGCCAGCGATGAGTGCGGTCCACTCGAGGTCCGCGCCCGTAAAGCTTCTCCTCGCGCCCCTCCACGCCGCCCACGAGCAGTGACCCGTCGCCGAACTTGATGGGGAGCGTGACGAGGATCGTCGTGACGTGGTTGTCGGGCAGGCGCGCCCGGAAGACGAGCCCGTTTCCCTTCAGCCGGATCTCGAGCTCCTTGTCACGCGCGGCGGTGAGGTGGTGGCCGATGGGGAGCGAGTGGAAGAGCGAGTTGCGCGCGGCGTCGAGGATAGGGCGGTTCGCAAGCGTCGCAGTGAGCGGGAAGGTGGGCGGGAAGTAGACCGGCTCGTTCTCGGCGTATCCGTCTACCATCGTGCGGGGGGCATGTCCACATCAATGTTGATCGGAAAGTCGAGCGAATACTTGATCCCAGCCTGCACGCGGGCACGGCGGTCAGGAACCCTTCACATTACCTGCTGTGCAGCGCGACGAACACGCACCTTTGTTCGGAAGAAGAGCGCGAGCTGTGCGGGGTCCATGGGCACGCGCCCCGAGACTGCGAAAGGCAGCTCATGGTCCCTGCTGATGCTGCGTGGTAGTCCATATGCCTGGGGTCGGAGCCTTGTCTCCTCGGTGTTGTAGAAGGGTGGGGCAGCTTCATCGACGCGCTGTGCTCGACCTCAAATACAGAGACTCTGCGTGCGGGGGACAGGGAGGTCGGGAAAGCGACTCGGGGCGGGTGTGGAGGAAAGGGAGGGAAGAGTAGATGGTGCTGCGAGCGAGGGGACCTGTAGTTGGCCTGTGAGAGCTGCTGTGTATGATCCAGGGTTGTGTTAATTCGCGGGGGAGAGGTGCATATAGCTGCATGTCTTCGTCTTCAAGGCTATCGAGCGGGGAGGCCTGGCGTGATGAGGGCTCGTAGTATGTGGAGCCGGCGTGTCACGGCGATCTTGCGCCCGCACAACGCGTTGAGCACTGGATAGAGCATATCGGCAAGAACTGGTCGCTCGGCGTGATGAGCAGGTCGGCCTGGATCCCCGCGGTGCCGAGGCCAGGCTTGAGGTGGACGGCGTGTGCGAACGTGATGCGCGCGCGCGCACGCACTGGCTGCGCCTTGTAGTACTCGCAGTCGACGATGAGCGTGGTCCACTCGGGGTCCGCACCCTTGCCGCGGCGCCCGTGAAACTTCTACTCGCACCCCTCCATGCTATGCACGAGCAGCGACCCGCCGTGGAGCTTGACGGGGAGCGTGACGAGGATCGTCGCGACACGGCTGTCGGGTGGGCGCGCCTGGGTGACGAGCCCGTTCCCAGTTGTGCATTGTGTCGAGGATAGGGTTCGCAAGCTTGAGCGTCGCGGTGAGCGGGAGCGTGGGCGGGAAATAGAGCGACTCGTTCTTGGCGTATCCGTCTGCCGTCGGATGCGACAGACACGAGGCGAGGAGCTTTTCCAGCGCGGGGTTGTAGTCGTCGTTGGTGAGCGAGGCCTGGAGCCGGCTTGAAGCTCCATGTCTTCCAGAACACGGCGGAGTTGGCTTGTCGGATCTGCACTGGGAGAGTACGAGCTACGGGCGGTATGGGTGGGATCAATCTGCGCGCGGAACGTCGCCCTGGAGTTGAGGAGGAACAGGTCCAGGAGCTTGGCGTTGTAGAGCGCGAGCGCGGGGACCCAGCCAGAAGGGTGCGCGACATGCGTGGGGAGGGCGCGGGGATGAGAATGCGGAACTAGGGGTCTTCGATGCGCGCAGTGTTGAGGGGGGCAACGCGGGCGGGCGGGCGGTGGAGACGATCATGCTTCTTCATGTTCGTCGTCCGCATATAGCCCCCGGGTAACTGTTCCCGTCCGGTCAATGATCGCCTCTTGCCCGAGACCGTCCTTAACGCGTCCGACGACGCACTTGACGGTGGTCAGGTCGACATAGAATACGGCTCCAGGAGATGGTGTGAAGAAGTGAATGCCGAGGCCTAGACGGTCCGACCCCGGCCGTATCTTGCACTTCTCCTCGATAGCCACGAGAACAATATGCGTAGGCTCCATGATGGCGTGTGTAGGGATCGCGGGGAGAAGAAAGTGGGAAATGCGCTGTAATTGTCCATAGCAGATCTGTGAGATGAACTCGGAGGGAGCAGAGCGAAGGTGGGCCAATCTGTCCACAAGAACGTCATACTGACGACACAAGTGTGAGCAACAATAGATGACTCCTGTGACTCGAAAAAAGTACACTCACTCGAACACATGAAGCATCTCTCCCATGAGCACAGGTGATTTCCCTGGTGCATCCGTTGCGATAGCCTACTATCGGCAGCTACGGATGCATCTGGACGGATCTGGCGATCCGTGATGCGCGCCCGTGGAGACGCGCCTCGGTGGGCGGCAAGGACGCGTGGCGCGCATCGACGCGTGGCTGTGATGCACGCCACACGTCCCTCCCGCCGTCCTTGCTCTCCTCCACCCTTTCTCCTCCTGCTCCGCCTCCACCGTCCAGGCAGACGATAGCGACTATACAGTCGTCCTTCGTCTGCTATTGGACTCCGGTGTCACCTGGTGACACCGTTCAACTCCCCTCATCCTCCTCCCTCGACCTCAACCTCAACCTCCATGCCGTCCTTCGCCCACTTTGCCGGCCGCGTCCACACAGGTCCACACCGCACGAGGACGTCCATCCGCATGGAGATTAGAATTAGGGGGTCGCGGCGATGTACCGCGGCCCTTGTTTTGGTGAGTCCCCCGCTCCGCCCTCCTGCACTCCCAATGCCCACCTCTCCTCTCCGGCTTCGCCCATCCGGCCTGCCGCCAGCCTTGACCTCCGTGTCCACCTCGCCCACCTCGCCGCTGCCCTCCTCCCCGTTGCCCTCCTCCGCGCTGCTCTCCGCCCACCTTCGCGCTGCCCGCCTGCGCCCGCACACCCTCCTCAGCCTCCCGCACCTCCATGTCGCCCGCGTCCGCGTCCGCGCCGCCTCCCGCCACCCGCATCTATGCGCCTCGCTAGGCTCCCCCTCCTTCGCCTCGTCCCGGCCCCCCGCGTCCGCGCTCCTCCTCCTCCTCCTCCTCCTCCGCGTCCTCCTCCTCCGCGTTGCCCGCCTCCTCCGGCTCGTCCACTTCCGCCCGCGCTGCCCTCCTCTGCCTCCGCCGACGTCACCTCCTCCGCCGGCGTCGCCTCCCCCGCCGGCGTCGTCTCCTCCGCTCGCGTCGCCCGCCCTTGTTGCTCTGCGCCTCCTCCCCCTTCGCACCGCACACCCCCGCCCGCGTCGCCCACCACCTACTCCGCCTCGTCCCAGCCCTCCGCGTCCCTCTCCTCTGCATCGCTTGCCTTCGCGTCGCCCGCCTCCGCGTCTCCCGCGTTCACGTCGCCCACGTCCTCCGCCTTGTCCCGAGGGGCATGGTATTACTTACTAGCACACTTATGTAGTAGTTTACTAATAAATATATTTTTATCACCAATCATATACAAGATGTGGTGTGAAGCAAAGAGGGAGGCGAGCTCACTGTCGGAGACAGCGAGCTCGGGTGGCGGCGCCTGAGGCGCCGGTGTCCGGACATCTGGGTGCGACGCTGTCCCAAGGGTGCGCGAGCGCGCTTGGGGAAGGCGGTGTCGAGCGCAACCGGGCCGGCCGGCACCAGATGCATCCGCACCGGCTGTCACAATGGATGCACCTGGCAAATCACTACTGTAGCTCCCATCGACCTGAGAGATCCCGACGAGTGATGCGCGCATTGTGTCTCCGTCATTGCGGACACGAATCTTGCCCCATTCTTCTACTTCATCCGGGATTGCTTGTCGAAGAACCGCGTGGGTTGCTGAGCCGAATCGTGTCACGAGAGCGCCAATGATCTTCCTGAGGGCGCCCTCGTCCTGGCGGATAGGGATGATGCGGCGTGAGGGGAGTAATACGTAGTCCTCATCTGTAAAGACGGTGTTTTATGTAGCGGTGTGGTGTATGGGTTGTGGGCGAAACAAAGGCTTACATCCAGGAATATGTACACCAGTCTCCGGTTGCGGTGCATTCTTGCGCAGCTGATTATGAACGCCTTCGCCATATATAAGGCAGATTTGCGAGAGTCGGGAGTGGTCGAGGACGTATCGATTCAGGCTAGAGTGTGGATATCGGCGGTTCTTGATTGCGGGACCGAGTGCAGAAGTGTTCCATGATGAATGCCCAGCTCGTCCAGACAGGCCCGACGATGGAGATACTGTCTGCAATGTGCAAGAGAGCGTGTATGGTGAGCGTACATGTGCTTAGCCTCTGTGGATCGTGCTGATGATAGTACCTGAACTATATTCAAGTCAATGTGACAGTACTTGAAAGCGAGGGACAAGCATAAGAACTGCTCATACTTCAGAACCCATTCAACTGAGCACAGGTGATTTCCTTGGTGCATCCGTTGCGATAGCCTATCGGCAGCTACAGATGCATCTCTGAGGCGCAGTGCATGCCCTACATGCAGTGACGAGCTGCAGAGCACCTGTGGGCCAGGGGATGTTGGCTGGAGCACAACGGTCGGCTGCTGGCCAAGATTCTGGGGCCCAGAGCACGGTTGGTGGGGCATCGGTCGGCTTCTGGTCAGGGCTCTGGGGCCCAGAGCGCCGTTGGTGGGGCATCGGTCGGATGCTGGGCAGGGCTCTGGACCTCAGCACACCGTTGGTGGGGCATCGGTCCGCTTCTGGTCAGGGCTCTGGAGCTCAAAGCACGGTTGGTGGGGCATCGGTCGGCTTCTGGTCAGGGCTCTGGGGCCCAGAGCACGGTTGGTAGGGCATCGGTCGGCCTCTGGGCAGGGCTCTGGGGCCCAGAGCGCAGTTGGTGGGGCATCGGTCGGCCTCTGGGCAGGGCTCTGGAGCTCAGAGCACGGTTGGTAGGGCATCGGTCCGCTTCTGGTCAGGGCTCTGGAGCTCAAAGCACGGTTGGTGGGGCTCCGGTCGGCCTCTGGGCAGGGCTCTGGACGTCAGCGCACCGTTGGTAGGGCATCGGTCGGCTTCTGGTCAGGGCTCTGGAGCTCAAAGCACGGTTGGTGGGGCATCGGTCGGCTTCTGGTCAGGGCTCTGGGGCCCAGAGCGCCGTTGGTGGGGCTCCGGTCCGTCTCTGGGCAGGGCTCTGGAGCTCAAAGCTCGGTTGGTAGGGCATCGGTCGGATGCTGGGCAGGGCTCTGGACCTCAGCGCACCGTTGGTAGGGCATCGGTCGGCTTCTGGTCAGGGCTCTGGAGCCTAGAGCAAGGTCTATGGGATGATTGCAATTTGCCAGGGTGAGGCGCAGTGCATGCCCTACATGCAGAGATGAGCTGCAGAGCATGTATGGGCCAGGGGATGTTGGCTGGAGCACAACGGTCGGCTGCTGGCCAAGATTCTGGGGCCCAGAGCACGGTTGGTGGGGCATCG